CCCTTCGCTAACAAAATTTTAAAGATGCATTAACCTACTAACGAAATTATTTTGTTTTGCAACAAAAGTTTGTATCTGTTATCAATAACACATTCAAAAAAACATATTTCGATTCGCATGATATTTTTTCATCTCGGATGCTACCTGAATTTTAACAAAAACAAAATGATTTCCATGCCTGAAGATGACTGAATGTACAGTCGAAAGTACTTGCGTATTTAAGAAAGACCTTATACAGATTGTAATTTAAAAAAACAAAACAAGGATCATAGCATTCATCGAGTGATTAGTAAGTTAATGCATCTTTAAAATTTTGTTAGCGAAGGGATTCCATTAACTTTACTAATTTACTTTTTGCATGAATGATTCATTGTATATATATATATATATATATATATATATATATATATACACTACCTATTTTTATACAGATATCTTTTTCTTAATAAATAAATAATTATTTCATAGAACATATTAGATCATAAAAATTCTTTGACTCTATTACAAGTTGGGAGAGACGTTTGCCCGGCAGAAGATTCACAATGGCTGAAAAATGGCTTTATTCAATTCTGAATGTTTTTTTTTTTTTTACTTATTTAATAGATATATTCATGAATTACGAGGACAATGTAACACTGGAATTATTACGCTGGACTTTTGGGAATTCTTGGGAGAGTTTTGCATTGGCCTCATTGTGTTACTGTAAATAAGTATAAATTTTATCCAATGTTATTTTAATATAAGAAAGGTAAATATAACTGAGGCAGACAGACAGTGAATGCAAACATTGTCTCTGGCATTGTTTTGATTATTGAAATACATTAGGAATTATTCGTTTGGGAACCAAATCGAAATGATTTATTCAGAGAATTCATTGCAAAGGATTCTCTGAAGAAATCCAATACAACAATTCTACATCAAAACACATTAAAACGATTCGCAATCGAAATGTATTGCAAATATTTCATGTACAAAAATGATTAGTTTTTTTTTGTTTAAATGTTTTATAAATCATTCATTTGGGAAATCGAAGGAAGAGATTAAGTGAAATGTATATTTTTGGTCTTTATGAAGAATCGGAATATATATATATATATATATATATATATATATATATATATATATTTATTTATTTATTTATTTCCAAAGCATAGCAAACAATTTATTATCGTAAAGAATTGAAAAAGTTTTACTGATGTAAAGCGTTACAGTGAAAGTTTCATATAAATTACATTGTAAAGTATTTTTATGAAAATACATAGCAAATTACTTCCTATGAAAATACATAGCAAATTACTTCCTATGAAAATGCATAGCAAATTACTTCCTATGAAAATGCATAGCAAATTACTTCCTATGAAAATACACAGCAAATTACTTTCTATGAAAATATATAAATTATTTACTATGAAGGTACATTACAATGTAATGTAATAGTTACTATGGAAATAAATTGCAAATTACTTATGGAAGTACATATCAAATAATTTACTATGAAAATACAATCTAAATTTTTTATTGTGAAAAATAAACTGTAAATTATTTATGAAAATACATGTCAAATTATTGACTATAAAAATACATTGCAAATTATTTATTGTAAATATACGATAAATTGTTTACTCTGAAAATGCATTGAAATTATTTATTACGATAATACAAGTTGAATTATTTATTATTAAAAATTTATACCAAATTATTTATTATAAAAATACATGTCAAATGATTTACTCTGAAAATACAATGAAATTATTTATTATAAAAAGTACAAGTCAAATTATTTATTATGAAAATGAATTGCGGAACAGACGAGCCACTACTGTCAATGTAAATTATATATATATATATATATATATATATATATATATATATATATATATATATATATATATGTATGTATGTATAGGTGCGCAGGTATGCAAAAATAGAAAAGCATTAAACCATAGGCATGAGTTAACGTTTTTTTGCCGACATCAACAAATTTTCGCATTAAATGATTGGCGTAAAAAAAAAATCCCATAGTTTAATAAAAGTCTTAAAAGCTTAGCCAAATCATTAAATAAGAAAAACCCTTTCTTTAGTCGTCAAAAAACAGATTGAAATCCAGTGCAATACGGTTTGTTTATAAAATACCCACTTGAATAAACAAATAAATAAAGAGATAATCAGATAGACAATAATAAAACAAAATCCTCCCGACACGTAACGACTTGTAGGCGCACCATAAAAATATCCCTCACTGAGAACTAACTAGAGAATGACCGCCAACATTAGCCTTGAAATAGATACCCTACCCAACCTTAGCAAAACTTCTCAGAAGATGATGAATCTATAGATAAGAATTAACTCTCTGACCACTTAACGAAGAAAACTAGCCTAGCCACTCCCACAATAACAAATGTTATAACGGACCATGCCTAAAAACACACGTAAACCAAGAGATAGCTTATTCCTAAAATTTCACTTGAAGATGAAACGAGACTAAACACCTCAATTCAACTTAATTTTAATAATTATTTGGATGGTTTCGGCTCTCGTTTTTGAGGCATGGGAACCCTTGTGTGGTAAGGGAATCGTATTTTTTAAACAAAAAATATTATAATATATATATATATATATATATATATATATATATATATATATATATATGCGAAGTTTTTGTGGACCATAATCAAGTGAGGTTGTACAATCTGAGAATAGACTTGCCTCTCCATTTTTCCGGTCGTAAAATCTCTCTTTATTTTTCTTTTTTCCCCAGCACGCACAATTAGTCGTATTTTTCGGACATTTTATTATCCATTCTTTTCGTCTAAATAGCGATATTCATAGTGGCACATTTTCAGTTTTTTCTAATATTAAGATTTTATTTCATATTTTATACCTGTCATCTTCCTGTGCCATCTTGTCCCTGACTATCGCTTCATTGTAATAAATACAGCATTATATTAATTGTCAACCCCATCCTGTCAGTTAGATAACTGACCAACCTTCCATCATCCTGCGTTAGAATGAATAATGGTAGGCGGTGACTGTCATGTAGATTTAAATATAAGGTAACCTGCTTTGCGAAGTCGACAGTATCGAGTTTAACTCTTCAAAACACGACCAGACCATCTTATTTCTCTTCTTGTCAAACGCAGACATTTCTAAAATGACAGGAATTTTTTTTTCTCGAACGTTTTATGTTCATCGGTGATTATTTATTTGAAGTAAGGTTAGGGGACTTAAAGAAAAAAAAATACGAATATGCGTGTATCTAAAGTTCAACCAAACTCCATTAAAAAAAAATTGTTGACAACAATAGCACATGCAAACGGGGGGAAAAAAAAAACGCCCTTGCACTTATGTAGCCTCAAAAAGATATATCTGAACAATACATGCTCACACACAAACATAACGTATTTTCTGTCGTATAAGACGCATCGGTGTATAACATGTACCCATAATTTGTTAAAGAATATTTCTAAAAAATATAAAATGTTTGCAGTGGTTGTTCTACATTTTAGGGAGCCAGAGGCTTAAACAGATATGTGGGTCCTTTCACAACCAGTAACAATAGATTCGCGGATCCAACTTCCAAAATGTAGGCGATGAATAGATTCTGGCTAGCTCAAAGAGCCCATGCAGCAGGGGTTCGGGCACTGCAAACCTAAAGGTAAATTTGAAATTTGACTAATTACACAGGAATTTTGAAGCCATATGAAATGGACATTAGATGATATTTTAAGGCTACTTCAAACCATTGGTTCTATTGATTCTATCAATAAAATGGCCTTATTTTAATAACAAACATTTTTAAAAAAATAACATCGATTTTGCTGAAAAATTCACCCTGGGATTAGGGGCCTTGACGCTTAAACATTAGTTTCATAGTAGGCCCGCCACTGACTAATTTGTTAATCCATTAAATTGAGCAATAGTGTTCAACTTATTCACAAAGCACTGAATTATTTCATGACCAAAACGAAGTCAATACACATTACATACATAATAACTAGGGTACCTCGACGCGGTGTAATGGTTAGCAAGTTTATCTCGCTAGATCCATTACGACCGAGTAATGAGTTCGATCCTTGTGCCACATCTAGGCTACGCTTAGTAAATCGCTATATATCTGACGCCTCCTGCTATCCTCTTCCCTCAATAGGAGTAGATAGGCGAAACTATCTCCCGGTTCACATCCTTTCCAGGTCTTTTTGAAAAAAATTTATCCCTTGTTCCTAAAATTGGGTTTCGGTTCCGGGGCTCCCCTTTTAGAATATGGACCCTGAAGCTTAATGGCAATTTTAATTTGGGGTAATTGATTAAAAAAAAAGCAAAAGAATCTTTGTGGTTCATAACGTTATTTTAGGGATCCAACGTCCAAAATGTAGCATTATAATTCCCACATTTCAAAAGCCCATGCAGCAAGGGTGCGGGCACTGCAAACCTGACTAAATTTGACATTTGACCAATTACAGAAGAATTTTTGAAGTCATATAAAAATTAGAGGATATTTTTGGTCATCAAACCATTGGCTCTATTGATTCTATCACTAAAGTAGCCTTATTTTAATAACACTTTTAAAAAAAATCACTTATTAATAATTCGCCGAAGGAGGGCCCTTTTAAATATGGCAAGGTTTGAATTACATAATTATAAATAGATCCCCAATTTGTTAAAAACGTTATTCTTAGTGGGTTTACGTATTTTAATTGCTACCCCACCTTTAAAAAAACAATGAAGTTAATAACAACCGGACTAGATAGAGAAGTCCTACTAAAGAAAGATTGTGCCTCCGACGAAAATCGAACCTGTATCAACATCTTTATCAGGGAAACTGTTTCTATAGCCGAAACGTGCATTTATCAATTCGCCGAAGGAGGGCCGGCTTTAATATGGCAAGGTTTGAATTACATAATTATAAAGAATGCACATTTGTTAAAAATTTTATTGTTTAAGAAAATTAAAAAGATTCCAGAGATATCAACTCAAATACGTGTAGCAATTAAAAATAACACTTAGAGTAATAAAGAAAGAATGTTGGATGAATAATAAAGATAGATAGATAGACAGACAGACAGATAGAGAGAGAGAGAGAGAGATAGTGAATAGATAGATAGATAGATAGATATATCGAAAGTGAATAGACATATATAGATAGTGAATAGAGATAGATAGATAGATAGATAGATAGATAGATAGATAGTGAATAGACCGTGAATAGACTTAGATAGATAGATAGATAGATAGATAGATAGATAGATAGATAGATAGATAGATAGTGAATAGAGAGTGAATAGACTTGGATAGATAGATAGATAGATAGATAGATAGATAGATAGATAGATAGATAGATAGATAGATAGATAGATAGATCGAGAGCGAATAGACATATATAGATAGTGAATAGAGATAGATAGATAGATAGATAGATAGATAGATAGATAGATAGTGAATAGACAGTGAATAGACTTAGATAGATAGATAGATAGATAGATAGATAGATAGATAGATAGATAGCGAATAGACATATATAGATAGTGAATAGAGATAGATAGATAGATAGATAGATAGATAGATAGATAGATAGATAGTGAAGTCGGTATGACGGAGTTTTGTCTTCGACAGGCACACCACATGTTAAAATGCATTATCTTCTTTGCTCCTCCCAAACTGTCACGGCCACCTGACAGTGTAGAAAATTGTTTACTGCAATCCGTTCATTGTGCATGTCAGCCCACCTTCCCTTCGTCAAGGCACCCGGCTTTCCATATTTCTCCAGTCCATCTCACGTGTATCTACAATATTTTAACCTGATAGAATGTCTGAGCTCACGGTGACATGCTCTTTGGCTACGATGAAGTGTGTCATGCAGTCTTGAAGACGATTCCGTGCCATGTCAACCGGAAGACTTTATGGGACTTTGATCGTAAAGCCAGTCTCAGTACAGCTCAACTCGTCTGCTACGTTAGTGAGCGTTGGAAGCATGTTTCTAACATTTTTTGGCAGCATACTAACCAACTAAAAGCTTTTATCCATTGGAAATTAGACTTAGCTTGTAAATGTATGAACGTATTTCGACAATCTGTAAATTATTCACCTGATAAAACACATACTGAATCAATATGCAATGAAAGACTGTCGAGATTGTCTCTGTGTTTTGAAATAAGGTGTCATCATAACACTAGTCTTCATTCATAGCACGATTTTAGGTTAGGATGATTGCAATAGCTATAATAAATGCTGTTTCAAAAGACTCAGCTAGCTAGATAAATAGATAGATTGTGAATAGGGAGATAGATAGATATTGAATGGAGTCCTATAAATAGATAGATATTAAATAAACTCAGATATATATATATATATATATATATATATATATATATATATATATATATATATATATATAAGTATACTCGTCCAGAAAACTTTAGGTGTATTGGCTTGTAAATGAATAAACCAATACCCAAGGAAAAAATAAACAAGAATAAAAAGAAAGAACTAGGAACATGTAATTTTGGCGAAAATAATGGAAGAGAATCAAGCTGAAGTTCGTATATATATATATATATATATATATATATATATATATATATATATATATATATATATATATATTTTCCATATATATATATTAGATTTTCCAAGCAAAGGCCCGAAAGTATGGGGCACTCAGTGAGTATAGATAGATAGATAGATAGATAGATATCGAATGGACTCACATCAGATAGTCAATATTTATATATACATTTATATATAGAGATAGATAGATAGATAGAGAGAGAGAGAGAGAGAGAGAGAGAGAGAGAGCGAATAGACATATATAGATAGTGAATAGACATCGACAGATAGATAGATAGATAGATTTTGCTGTTGATGCATTTGTAGCGAGTTCTCTCACAAATGTACGCTACACAGTCTTTTTCGACTATGTTCGAGCTTACTCAAAACGCTTTTTATTTTCCATTCAATTGCAGTTCTTTCCCTGTATGGGAAAAAAGCATAAAAACATCAACCATAGAATTTTGAATTGTTTCTACACATTCAATTAAAACTTGAGATCATTCGAATGAGAATTGTTGAAGTTATTAGATCATGAAATACCATTTTTTCAGAAAAAAAACTTGTATGTCTAATACTGAACAAAAAAATCAGTAATAGGTGTGAAGTTTACTTTAATTGAATCTTATGTTAAATTAAGTAAAGGCTTTAAAATGTTTTTTACAGCAAACTTCTTATCCTGAGAAAATCACAGCGAAACTCTTTATTTTAACTTTTAAGAAGCACGTTGAGTAGAAAACCGAATATTTTTGCGTATATAATATATCATATATTAGCAGAATATTTCCTCTTTACATCGGTATGCTTATTGTGGGGAATTTGAGAGCATATCAAATTATAGCTAACATACTAACCATACCGTTACCATCCTCCTTAATTGTCCAAATTTTTCACTAGGGGACGTTCTTCCTACACTATAAATACTGGGCGATTTCTTGCTTCGTTCTCTCTTTTTTCTTCATTTTCAGCAAACACATCTACAATGTAAAGCTCTCGCAGAAGATTGCGTCTTCCTACTTGTGGGAGACACCATGAACATTATACACATACACGTACGTACGAACATTTACCACAATACAAAATCTTTACAATCACACACCAACACAAATGTTAATGTCTATATCCATTATAAATTTTGTTGTTTAATACATATACGTTTTTGTTATGTATATATATATATATATATATATATATATATATATATATATATATATATATATATATATATATGGGTTTTGTTGGTTTCTTTACACTTTTTATGGTGGATTCAATCTCTGAATCCGCAACGTTCTTGTAGTAGACCTTCTAGCAGGAATAAACGCACGTGTTCCGAATTTATCAACACGTAAACCCCAAGTCCGCTATATAGTCAACTGCTAGAAGTGAGACAAGTGAATTCTACAATGAATCTCCAACTGCAGGATATCTGCCAACCGCCCCACGCGATCAGATGTGGCACGGAATTTAATGTGGGGTATCCGATCCCGTAGGCACGGCCAAAAATTCCCCGTAGACCTCGTATAAAACAGGCTCGGGTAGCTGCTTCCCGAGACGAGACTCTGCCCTTGGACATAACCTCGTCTGGAGATCCTCTCTGCTCGGAGGCAGGGAGTTTGACCAGCACAGCTGGAGACGAACCTCCAACTGCAGACCAACATACAGTATTTACTACTGTATTTATGTGAATGAGGACATACTCATTATCGTCCGTAGGTAAGCTGCAACAAATATGTAAATTTCTATTTCTGCAAGTTTTCCTGCTGCACATGTTCATCTTTCTGTTGATACGGCCATCGAAAATATAAAACGTATGCTCTCTGAAATGCCCGAAAGAAAAAGAAATGTAGAGAAAAAAAAGAACGCCTGTTTTTTTCCTCCTTATGAGACATATTTCTCAAAATCGCACTTTTACGATTTCTCTCCATTATAAACGAAGAATTATCTTTTTTTTTCCCCGTCAATTTTTACTTATCACCACGCCTTGTTCCAACCCAAGCTCCGATGATTATGAAAGAAGAAAGCCTGCTAAATGCCCCATTTAGATGAGACATTGTTGACGAATTCAACGTCAAAGGATTGACTGGCTTTTCTTTGCTTACGTCCGCGGTTTGTTATGTATGTCAGGTGTTGACAAACATCCAACGTCTTTTAAGACAACATGAAGTGTCTTCTTGATTGCTATCTACACAAAATTTGATAAAATCTAAAGCATTCCTCTCTTGTCTAAATTTCATTATTTTATATATTCTCGAGTTTATTTTTTACATACTTGTTGCTTTCTAAGATGAAGTGTTTTTATTATTCCATATATTATTCCGACTATTGTCTTCATATTTGTTGTCTTCTGAATTTCTTAGATGAAGTCTTTTTATTATTCCATACATTATTCAGACTATTGTCTTCATCATTGTTGTCTTCAGAATTTCTAAGATGAAGTGTTTTTATTATTCCATATATTATTCTGACTATTTTCTTCGCCTTTGTTTTTTTCTGTTTCTAACATAAAATCATTTCATTATTTCATATTATTATGCAGGCTATACAGGTGCTTGTCAATTGTCTCTGAATGATGTTGAAAAATTTCCCTAACTGTCCGAAGACCACGTCTGTCCACTGTAATATACAGGGGATATGAAGGGATTACAGCTGCCTCTTTCAGTTCGCCCACCTATAACACTTGCTGTATCGCATCAACAGATGCAAGGTGCACAAATGTATTCGCCCTCTTTATTCGTATACAAGCGATAGTAGAAGTCCGTTAATGGTAATCTTGGATGTTTAGTATAGTTTACTACTGGATCCTGATATATATGGGCCTATGGGAGAGAAAGTCTGATGTTCTTCTTCTTTATATGCCGTGTCCCTTCGATATTTAGACGACCATGGCTCTCCACATCTTCCTGTCCTTCGTAGCTCTTATTAAATTTTGTCTTTTTGTTATCTCTCCTAAACCTTGCCCTGCCATCTATTTACTCAAGCTAAGTATGCTTACTAGCTCCCTTGCCTTGAATCTGTCCTGTGAGTATCAGATTTTCCAAACCCCGTTTCCTCATTATGTGTTCTAGAAATTTCAACTGACTTTTCCTGATGTTAAGTATAAATGTCCTTTTTGTTTGCATTTTGTCTAAACTTCGTCGTTGCTCCCAATTTTGGTCCATGGCATCCTCAGCATCCTTCTGTAAAATCACATTTCAGTGGATTCAGGTCTCTTCTTCATCTCTGAGGAGATTGGATAACATTCACTGCCATACAGGAGGACAGATATCACTTAACAGTTCAGTACTTTTTTCTTTCTTTTTAATGATTTTTTTTTCTGTTTCTTAATACTCTGCTTAGCCTTTAGAAGGCATCTTTGGCTATCCAAATACGTCTTCGGATCTCAATGTTGCACTTCCCGTCCTCTGTTAAAACACTTCGCAGATATTTCGATACTTGTACTTGTTTGATTTTGGCCACTCTAATTTTAAATGGTGGCCCAATAATTTCTATGACCACATCACTGAGGAAGCATTATGGTGTTCAATATCTACTTAAAAAACCAACGTTTAATCTTGTGTAAATTGAAGCATATATATATTGGGCATTGCAATTTTTCCGTCAGATTATATATATATATATATATATATATATATATATATATGTGTGTGTGTGTGTGTGTGTGTATGTATGTATGTATAAATACATAAATATTATAAATAATAAAATATATAAACGTAATTAAAGACATTAGTCCCATTTCATCCTCAAGCGAAGGAAAAATTCGCTTGAGGATGAAATGGAACTAATGTCTTTAATTTAATTAAAATTAAATTCGGAGCTTTCAGCTTCCATTTTTGAAACATGGTTAGAACTGTGTAAACGAAAAAAAATATTTTAAATCAATTAATTTATAATATTAATGCTCTGTAAATTTACATTGAGCACTATCTATAACACCGGATTATATATCTTACTGTTCTTTCTTTTTTATATATATATATATATATATATATATATATATATATATATATATATATATATATATATATATATATATATATTTAAAAATATACGCACGCATAAGAGTTCTCATGTTTCAAAACAAGAGCCGAAAACTTCAATATAATTATTTGAATATATATATATATATATATATATATATATATATATATATATATATATATATATATATATATACATATATATATACACAGAGCAACCTCGGTTCTCGAACGTCTCATATCGAACGTCTCACATGTCGAACAAATCGGTTTTCAAATAGATGAAAATGCCTCGGTTATCGAACAAAATTTCGGTTCTCGGACAACATTACCGAACCGTGTTAACCCGAACGGAATCATTTCTAAGTCGGCCGCCATATTGTATACATTTGTGTGTTGTGCCGTGCTTTTCTTTTCCAATTTTATTATACTGTGACTTTTTTTCTGTACATTGATTCTTATTGGAAAAATAGTTTACAACGGCCTTCAGGAAATAATTAAATTCGTGAACCGAAGTTCCACTAAATATATATGTATATTACAGCTGCCTCTTAATATATATATATATCCTAATTCACCAAATGTTATTTTAGAGAAAGGGGAAACAGATGAAAAATATCTTTACTTCCACGCATCGAATCTTTTATTTGTAAATCTGTTCTCTCAAACAAATTCAAGTAAGAAATGGCTATTTGCAAATAAGGCAGTGAACTGTCGGGGAAAATCATTCATACTTTCTGACTATCTCTGTGTGTACGCAACATACTTGTAAGCGAATTTATAACGTGTGCGTGTACGTAATCTATTGAAATGCGTATTCTAGGTTATGCACCTGTTAGTGTGTTTGTCGCCACTGGCACGCTCTTGTCTGCGAAAATCTGTGCTCTTATTTTTAGACATTGTACATTTATTCGTCAATGGCGTGTGTCACGTCCATGTCGCTCGCTGCATGTTTGTCACCTACACAGGTGTTGGAAGGAGGAGTTGTTGTTGTTGTTGTTTTTTTTATGCACATAGAAATATTTTTCACCTGTTTATTTGCGTTTCACCACATGAATAAGAATAACATTTTTTTTTCACTTGTTCAAATGTCTATTCTATAATTTTACCGCATTTTTGGGGTGGGGGAGACTTGTCAACACGTCTATCAATAGACGCACATGGATTGTCGTCGCGTGGGCTTTTACTTTTCTCTTCATTTATTTATATTTTGGCAGGTATTTACTTTTATATGGTAGTGGAATGAGTTTTTCATTGAAAGGAAAAGTATTTTTCTAGGCAGAGAAGTAAAAATTATTTAGTAATATGCAGCTGGTGTTTTATATATGTACGAGTAAAAATTATCTACACTCTTATCTAAAAATAATTGTAGACATACCCTCGTATACACACACACATACACACATACATACATACATACATATATATATATATATATATATATATATATATATATATATATATAGCACAAGAGTTTTGCCCGATTCTTCAGAGGCGATGACTTGCCTCAGCTGCATTTGAGCCACACTGACAGTAATGTCGGGCAGCAGCAATTTGTTGATTCTGATTCAAGTCTAAAAGCAATGTTCCTGACGTCTCGAAGACCAACCTTCAATAATACAATAAAATAAAAATAAATAAAAGTCAGGCAAAACGTTTTGGAAACCCTGTATATGGCAGACAAGGAAGATTTAATTATTTTTTTATTTAGTTTTTCCAGAATCCTTACGTTTTTTCGTAGGAGTAAGTGAGTACAAAAACTTTCCATAATTTTCATTGTCTCCAAGCGCTTTCGCTTGTAGCCATTTTCAAGGAGGTTTTGTTTTTGCTGTTGTTAATTTTTCTTAATGTTTTGACTGTTTAAATTGTATGGCTGATGCTAACCTCCAGGAGAGCAATCCATTACGCCTTCTTGGGCTCACATTTTTCACTGACATGAAGTGCAGCGGCAACATCGAATCAATTGTTACGTCTACTGCAAAGATGGTTGGTTCACTGTGCCGTGCCAAAAACAAATTTTCTCGTCAGAATCCATCTTGCATATTTATAAATCTACCATTCTTCCACGCATTGAATACTGTTGCCATATCTGCTCCTGTTGTATATCTAGAGATTCTTGTCAAAATCCAAAGAAGGATCTGTAATGTAATCAACCCTGATACTAGCATCTCGACTTCAGTTACTTTCTGACTTTTCTGCAAATATTTTCATAACAACTGCTCTGATGAACATTTTAACTTGTGCTTCGACTACAGGAATTTAAGCTTGCAACTAGACGGACAACTAGTTCCCAATGTTTTAATGCTGAAATAGCTAGATGCAATCGCCACTTCTACTCTGAAGGTTTCTTTTCTCGCACTTCCTACCTTCTCAGATAAATGCAATCTTCAAAAATGTAAATGCAACGTCAAATGCCATCTGCTGTCTTCGTGAAGTCTGTTCATTTTTTGTCCTTTCGTCAATCCTCCCCATTTTCAGTCTTCCCATTGTCTTTCACTTTCACTCCCTGTAAAATCCCGCGTTCTAGTAGTATCACCGCTATGTTTAGGGATTAAAAAAATAACTATCTAGCGATTAGTTCTGTTTTGAAACAGCGTAGAGATGTAGTAGGGTATAATACGACATGATTTGTGGCCTATTTTCTTATTATATTGTGTGTTGGGGTTGCCATTTAACTTAATCCGTAACGTCTTTATGGCAATTTCCTGAGAATGGCAGTTGCCTGTTTTTTTCTTTTCTTTTTTTTTTCTATTCGTTTTAAGAACATGACTTGGGTTTTCAGGTTAATAGTTTAGTTTTGTTGCATCTTACGATGTTGGACAAAAAACCCTGAGCGCAGCCTATGCTATGTTTAAATACCCAATCTCCAATACTAAATTTGTTGGAAGTGATCCAGGCACCAAGATGTATAACTTTAAATTAATAAAGATCTACATGACTACCGTTGAACATTTTCCGATTTCCGTATTTAGTTACACACTCTTCGGGGTGTATTTTGTGGGCCGTTTCAAGCAGTGAAAACGAGTGTCGAATAAAGAAACTTGCGGGAGAAAGAGAAAGAAAATGGTGGTGTCGGACTGAAATCTCGTTGCGTCATGTAAAGTCTTTATTGTTTCATGTACCGGATTTTTTTTCCAATTCTGTTTTTTCTCTTTATTATCTTTTCTTTTTTTTTACCTCAAATTGCCTTCATCTTTAAATATTTAGTGCTTTCTTCGTGGACATGAGAAGTTCGATCGTGCACGGGAAAGTTGGTAGAAGCAAATAGCTAAAAAGTGATGGTGGGAGGCGAGCAGCAAAAGAGAGATAGTGGGAGGTGAGCAACAAAAGAAACATTGTGCGAGGAGGGTAGGAGGCGTGTAGCAAAAGAAATATAGTAGGAGGTGAGTAGTAAAAGAGAGATGATAGGTGGGTAGCAAAAGAGAAATGTAAGAAGGCGAGTAGCAAAAACGAGATGGTGGGAGGCGATTAGCAAAAGAGAGATGGTGGGAGGCAAGTAGTAAAAAATGAAGGTTGGCAAAAGTGAGAAGGTGGAGGCAAATAGCAAAATAAAGATGGCTGGAGGAGAGTAGCAAAAAAGATATAATTTGAATGCGCAGATTAAAAATAAAAAATAATATATCTACATAAGATATATATATATATATATATATATATATATATATATATATATATAGAGACAGATATATCTAGTATGATAGATAGATAGATAGATAGATAGATAGATAGATAGATAGATAGATAGATAGATAGATAGATAGATCAGAAACAGACAAAAAACGTTGAGATGCCGAGGTAGATTTTAAAGAAAGAAAAAAAGAAAGAAAGAAAGAAAGAAATGAGAGCAAAAGAAGACGATGTCATGCCCACAATAATTTGCGCACATGGAATTATGACTTGAGTCGAGAAAGAAAGCGTGGAAAGATCGAGAAAGAACTAGGAGATAAAAAAAAAAGAAAGAAAGAGGGGCCGAGAAGTATTTGAGTTTGAAAGAAAGAAAGAAAGAAAGAAAGAAACAAACAAACAAACAAACAAACAAAGAAATCGATGAGAGAAGAAGAAGTCGATGTGATGCCCACAATAATTTGCGCACATGCAACTATGACTTGAGTCGAAGCCGAGAAACATTTGAGAGATGTAGAAAGAAAGAAAGAAAGAAAGAAAGAAAGAAAGAAAGAAAGAGCAATTGATTTCAACCTGGAGTGGGTAAGTGAATGAGTGATTGATTGCTGTCCCAGGGAGCGAAATAAGGTTTAAATATTTAATCAAAAAAGAAGAAAAAATGTCTGTGGTTTGGTTGGGGTCGAGGATGGTGTCGGTCGGTCGGTCGTTTTCTGAACTCAGGAGAGAAGTAGGGAGAAAGCGAGATAGAGAGCACTGAAATTCATGGTGAATGGGCTTGGATGGAAGAGTAGGTTGTTGGCGGTGAGTAATGATCGCAGGGGGGGTCACACGCACTACCGGCCACGCAGACACGCACATGCTGTGTAGTGCACGCACAATCGTAGACGGGGGCCCGTCAGACAAGGGCCAGGTTTTCTATTATTCTCCGAGGGGTTAGACAGATCGATCTGGGAGAGAGAAAGATAGACTGGTCAGAGGTAGAGGTGGCGGCTGACATGGAAAGTGATGGCTAACAGACAGATACAAACAGAGTGGCAGACGAAAACGAGAGGGCACTTATTATTACTTTGTGCATTCACTTTCTTCATTCATCATTGTCGTCGTCCTTCGATAGCGGAGAGCACACGGTATTGTTTATCTTGTTATTCTTGTCTATTACTAAATTCTGATGCAAAAACGGCTGCACCAAAAGACATTAAAGTTTTAGTGGAGACGAACATAAGGGTTTCGAGACTGCCACGTCACGTTTTAGACAAAACACTGCCGAAATGAATGATTTAGACAATGGAAAAAAAAAAAACTATGTTCAATCGTACTACAAATAACAGCACCGGCATTTACTAAGCTTAGCTATGAGTATGGTTGAAAGAAGAATGGCGGGAAAAGAGGCAGGAGAATTTGGGTTTAAAACAAAACTAGAAAGAAAGAAAGAAAGAAAGAAAGAAAGAAATCTATGCGAGAAAAATAGTTGATGTCATGCACAGAATAATTTGTGCACATGAAACTTTGACTTCAGTCGAGAAAGAAAACGTGGAGAAGCCGGGAGAGATTTGAGAGATGAAGAAAGAAAGAATATATATATATATATATATATATATATATATATATATATATATATATATATATGAAAATATATAGAAAATAGGTAGGAACTGGTTAGGTAAATAATCCAAAGTCCCTTAGTATTTTAGTTATTATTTTTTTTAAATAGTGCTCGATACAAAAAAAATTTCGCTTGAAGATGGAACAGAGCTTATTTTAACTCAATTTATTTTAAATAATTTAAATAATTATATTGAAGTTTTTGGCTCTTGTTTTGAAACATGGGACTTCTTATGTCGCGATTTGGAATCATATTTTTAAATAAATAATTATATATATATATATATATATATATATATATATATATATTTAAATTTTATAATATAAATATGTTATAAAATCACAAAAAAAACAGCCATTTTGTTTCTACAGTGGTTTTATAACATATTTATGTTATAATTTTTAAATAAATAATTATATTCGCCCTACTATAATACACTGGTACCACGCGTTCAGGTGGGGTACTGTGATCCTGGGTAGCGCACAAAATGACTACAATGACCTAAGACAGAGAAAACACAGATACTACGACACTTTAATCGGAGTCATATCACACAGATACTACACTAATCCTATGCAAAAATAACTCATTTTTATTGGTACTGCGCTAACTGGAATAGTGACATAGTAATGGTAATAATAACCGTTTCCATTCACTGACCGAGCAGCCAGTGCCACTCTCGGTTGAAAGTCCAGTAGCTGTTATCGCTCTTTCCAGTATTGATGGGAGTTTCCTTCCTAACCTTATATTTGGAGTAGTGTGGGATATCAGAATATTATTACATGTACTATCCATTTTAACTGTTACTGCTGTTGAAGGTCCTCAGGTGATGCGATTTCTGTTATCTCGTACATTTATTTGTTTGTGATTCTGTAGCGCCAGTTTACAAGATTCGAAGAAGGGTGGCCTTCACCAAGACTATCATTCGCACAAAGGCATTTTAACAACTGATCTGAGAAAGAAACATTTTAGATATTTCTGGACGGCTTTGGCGCCAGTCTCGATCTGGCGAGACTATTTAACATAACTCGAGTTTTTAGGTTAATGTTTTGGTTTTGTACCAATTTGCAGTGTTGGGCGAAACTATCCCTAGTGCTGCCTATTCTAGATCTAATTTTCTATTCTCCTCTACTAAATTTGTCATGACTGATTTATATACCAAGGTATTTGAAGTCTTTGGTATTTACTAATTCCACCACTACTCTGTCGTTACTTCTATGGAAAGTGCTCGGACGAACTATATTTCTACGTTCCGCTAGTTCTACCCTTCACGGCTAGGTCCATCGGCGAGAAGTTCCACTCGAACCGCTGCTCCTCGCGAAGTACTGCTCAGTGGAACACTCCCAAGAGGATGCTTCCCTAATCGATACAATCTTAACCAATTCAAGTCTAGAGTTACCTGTTATCTTCCCCTTCTATCCATATAAACTACCTCTTAACGTAACCCTCTACCACGAGTGGCCCTCGGCCCTTGTAAAGGGTGAGCCTCACTGTAAAAAAATATCTTAAATATGATGGATTTGGGCTTTCATTCAAATTCCAGATTATAGTTTCTGTATTGAACAAGTTCATCTTGATTCTTTCTTTGAATAAAGCAAAGATCAAGGAAAGGTCATATTTTCTTTATACTGCGTTTGTATATATATATATATATATATATATATATATATATATATATATGAAAATATATAGAAAATAGGAAAGAACTGGTTAGGTAAATAATCCAAAGTTCCTTAGAATTTTAGTTATTATTTTTAAAAATAGTGCTCGATACAAAAGTAGAGCATAAATATAATTATTTATTTAAAATCATATTTTAAATAAATAATTATATATATATATATATATATATATATATATATATATATATAAATTCAAAATTACTCCATTTGAATAGTTGCTATTTATGAACACCAACGAGTGAAAATAAAATAAAATATTCTATTTTATTTTCACTCCTTGGTGTCGATAAATCCTGCAAGGAAGCTCTTTGTAGGGTGAAATAGCTATTAAAATGAAGTCATTTTGAATTTTTGTTCTATGTAATTTATCTATTTATATTTGCTCTGTTATAATAAATACATTGGGCTCTCTTTGTGGATCAGTTTCAATATTTCATATTATTAGGATTCACTTGGATTATATACCAATCAGTATTACCTGTATATATATATATATATATATATATATATATATATATATATATATATATATATATATATATATATATATATATATATATATATATATATATATATATATATATATATATATATATATCAAGAACAGTTTTAGCAATTTGTTGAGCATATCTACCCCCAACGCAGCCTATTCTATGTTCAATTTCCGTATCATCTATATACTAAATTTGTTATTACTGATCCAGCGGAACAAAGTATTAAGAAGCAGGAAATTTTCGTTAGAAACAACGAAAAGACCACTTAACCTCTAGGCAATATCAATTCTTCTATATGGTTCTGAATTCTAGACAATTTCTTCACAGATGATGAGATCCGAAGCAACATAGATGTCTTCCTATCGAAGGATGTTGAGAACACTTTGGCGTGTGAGCAGTGAGATACTTTAGAAACAAAAATGACACTTCTACTTAGAATTAGAAAGTGACAGTTGAAATTTCTGTGATAAAAAATGAGGACAAGTGCCTTGGAGAATTTGCCCATTACAGGGCATAATGAAGATAAGAGAAATAGTGGAAAATATCGAATAACTTACCTAACGAGCTTGTGCCAATGAATGGCTGGAGTGAGAGGGGCAGTAAAATGAAACATTACTAAATGTTACTCAAGATAGGAAGTTGTGGAGAGCTATGATCACTATATACGTCATATAAAGAGAGAAAGAATATTTGCTATGAAATTGGAATAAAAGACATCTTTTTCGTTTGTTTGCTTATTTCTTTTTAGTTAATTTTTCATTGATTTTTTTTGTACATCTATATTATGAAATAGACTAAGCCGACAATCTTAATATATTTAATGTTTATACGTTATTTTTACATATACAAATATTTAAGTAAATGCTCTGTTTATATTAAACAGTATTAAACAACATTTACCGGCCTGAATGTCCGAGAAATTTTCATAGAAAATATGTGTCCTCCTACAGGAATCGAACCTGTATCATACACGGAACCGTCATATAGCCTGACGTGCCTTAACCATTTAGGTACGGAGGAAGGGTCTGGTTAGCAAGGTCAAATTACCGCTTTTAAACAAAGCATTTACTTAAATATTTGTATCTATAAAGATAAAGTATAAACAATAAATGTATTAAAATACATCTATATATACAATTTTGCTATGTTTCCTTTATTTTTCTCACTATTTACAACCGTTATTTTTTTTTTAAATCTGCCTTTGATTATCTGCCCTTTTTAACATTGACAGAGGTATAACGACAGAGGTTTGGGAGGATAAAAAAAAACGGAAGAGACAAAAGAAAAAACGGAAGAGACAAAAGACAAATAAGCAAACTAATAAAGAATGAATATAAAGAAAGAAATTCAAAAGAAAATAAATAAAAAGTATAACGAAAGAAGAATGGAAGAAAAGAAAAGAAAGAAAATCGAGAATAGTAAAGCCAAAACAAAGAAAGCCAAAGCAAAATGGCTCTCGATTCTGTCTCCAAACAAGGTTACACATTTCATTTGATTAATTTAAGGATATGTTCAATTTCAGACCTCTCCAACATGCCTCGATAGAGCGTGAATTACATTCAACTGTCAACTAACAAATGAAAAGAATTTGTTTTCGTTCATTTCGTATTTTTTTTTTTTTTGTTTTTTTTTCATTTAGTCATTCATTCATCCACTCACTTGTTTGTTTATTTCGACTCAAATATTCTTGCCTTTTTTTTTTTTTTTCTTTTTTTTATTATTCGTTAATTTCTCTTTATCCCTTTTGGCTTTCAATGTCTCTTTTTTTTTACTTTTTTTTTTTGTCTTTCCATTTGTCACTTCTTTTCGCGATGGCGTTCTTGCTGCTGTTCAGTTGATCAAAATTAACTTCTGCATCAGATTCAGTTTTTTTTCAAAATGAGGCTCTGAATTACAAACGTGGTTATTTATTTTAACATAATTTGATAGGCTTGTCACTCAGCGACATTATTTCTGCATAACATTCAAGTGAAATTACCCCAGATGATAGTTTAGTGGTTATATTCTTGGACTAAAGGTCAACAAAAGTGTTACGGTTTAAATAACTACAATGGCTGTCTATTCTAATGTTCTTTAATC